TTGCCAACGTGTCTCTTTCTAAAACATTGCACACCATGAAGCTGATTATGTGTATCGCTAAAATACCGAAACTAGTTTCGTTTGTCTCCCAGATGGGCCAGTCGGGACAAGGGTACGTTTGTTACTCCACTGTAATCTTCTAGAATTGTGTGAGCTGATTTTTTACTACTTTTTCGTTAACACCTGATGTTGTGGATAAAAAGATGCACACACAAGTTTTGGAGAGCAAAGATTAAAACTGCCCAAGTTTCATCAAATTTAAGAGATAATCAAAACAGATTAAAAAGGCTTTTTTGTTCATATAACGTAGAAGGTACATTTTAATAATTTGTAAATATGTGGAGGACAAAATCAAACGAATTCAGCCATTTTGTTGCACCATGTTCTGTTCATGACGTAATTTCATTATCTACATCATGACATCAAAATATCGTATTAATTGGCGCAGCCAATCAAAAACGTTCACGTGTATATTACTCAAGTGACAAATACACAGGATAACGGGATGATAAAGATATAAAAATATGAAGTCCCGGTCAAAACCTTTCAGTTTTATTATTCTATAAATAGATTTAATGAGTAATAACACAAAGAAATGAAGAATTTTGTCTTTATGGGGTGTTTTGTGCAATGGATGAGGTTGTATTAAGTTACTGCAAAGGAAATTGCTTTGAACTTTACTTCCGGTGTGAATTGTACTCCCGGTTTGAATTGTTGAAACTGTAACACCCCGCAATCAATATGTGTTATGTTATTACACTGCAATGAACTACCAAAATGTTTATCAGGCAATGTACCGGAAATTCGTACGACGACAGAGTATATATGTGTTCGATAAACACATCTGGGTTATATAATTCATGGGACGATGAACGGCATATCTGTGAAGATGCCACCAAAATATATGCACCGTGTTTTATGTGATGTGTGCTACAATAAACAACTATTAAACTAGAAAGAATACATACATTACGCCAGTGAGAATATACCATCGTTATCTGTAGAAAACGATCCAATAAAAGTTACACGTAGCTACCATATTATCGAATTCGTCCTCGCCAGGGAATACTGTAAAAGTTCGATCTGAAGGTCATACAGGTCAAAGTATACTTTTAATTTGCTTAGCCTACCTGTATAATGTTCCAGTAGTTTTTGGATGTAATTTGCAGTTTCCTTCAAATGTTATTTAAGATATACATTATGAAAGCTTTTCACGCTTGGCGGGGAGGCCCAAATTTGTGCGGTTGATCTACTTAGGTCCATACACAAACAAAATATACGCTGGTTCTTCAGATATAAAAATCGTGTACACTTCTTACATATCACAACAATATGTCTTATTGTTGAAACCATATGAATCCTATATTTGTAGACAATATTACAAAAACATAACATTCAACAACACGACCATCCTTTCGCCTTTTCAAAAAACGTGTAAATATCGCCATACAAACGGGTGATCGTTAATACACAAACACATTACATCACTACACACACGTTACATCACTACACACACGTTACATCACTACACACACATGTTACATCACTACACACACACACGTTACATCACTACACACGCACGCTACATCACTACACACATACACGATACATCACTACACACAAACGCTACATCACTAAACACACACGTTACATCACTACACACACACGCTACATCACTACACACACACGTTACATCACTACACAAACACGTTACATCACTACACACACACGATACATCACTACACACAGATGTTACATCACTACACACATATGTTACATCACTACACATACACGTTACATCACTAAACAAACACGTTTCATCACTACACACACGTTACATCACTACACACACACGTTTCATCACTACACACACACGTTACATCACTACACACAAACGCTACATCACTAAACACACGCTACATCGCTACACACACACGCTACATCACTATACATACACGTTACATCACTATAAACTCGCGTTACATCCCTTCACACACACGCTGCATCACTACACACACACGTTACATCATTACACAAACACGCTACGTCACTACAAACACACACGCTATAATACAACACACACACGCTACATCACTACACACACGCGCGCTACATCACTACACACACGTTCCATCACTACACAAACACGCTACATCACTATACACACACGTTACATCACTACACACACACACGCTACATCACTATACATACACGTTTCATCACTATAAACACACGTTCCATCCCTACACACACACGCTGCATCACTACACACACACGTTACATCACTACGCACACACGTTCCAGCACTACACAAACACGCTACATCATTACACACACGTTCCGTCACTACACAAACACGTTACGTTACTGATCACGCTACTTTACTACACAAAGGCGTCACATCTCTACAGAAACATGTTATACATTACTTTCTGTTACATCACTACAAAATGTTTCCAATCTTGCTGTCCCCTACATCACTACTAAATATCACTACACCGACAATTAGATATTGCCATAATGTCTACAGATACCGTTAATCACCGCCCCATATCTCCGCCCTTGCCTTGGTCGTTGATTATATATCTCACCGTCAGTAACTGTGTAATGTATCTTGTGTCGTCTGCATTGTTTTTGACAATTATTGTAGAATATGGTATACTCATCGTTCAGCCCACACTCTTTGTATCATGAACGTATCTCATGTTGATGCATAAGCAGGATTTAAAACATTTGCTTTCCTCTTTCTGCTACCAATTTGAAAGAAAATAAAAATTATCCGCGTGTTAATATTTGCTATAACCAGTGGTAGAAAAATATCATTTTAATGCTGCGTGTTTTTAATTTTCGACCACACGTGCTATGACTCCAGAATATACATTCTATTGTTCGAAAATGTAACATGGTTTTTATTCCAATTAAAAGGAATTACGTAAAAATAATTCAACAAAATTTATGGGCTGCAGTTCATGCAAATTGGATAATGACTTAAGAGAGTCTCGTTTATTAAAAATGGCATTAATTAGCAATTAAATGTCATTGCTCGCGAGAACCTCGCGATGTATTTTGCTACAATTTATAGGCACGGATGTGATTCTCTGACGAAGTGGCTGTTCAACTGAACGGTTTATACAGCCGATAACGAATAATTTCTTTTCGTTTAAATAAAAAGCAAAAAAATATCAACAATGTCATTTGAAAGTCTTGAAATATTTCGAAAAGATGATAAAATTATTGTGTACGCTTAACTTTCAAGCGAAATGTAGTTTTTTCTCCAAATTATCTAGGTTCAAGTACCCTTCCACGTGATCATGCTGTATAAATGTCGACAAGCTCTAGATCACATGATCACATTGGTACCAACCACGTGATCGGACTAGTTCCCAATCAGGTGATCAGAGAGGGTTCTAAACCACTTGATAAATCTGGTTCATGTTATCGAACTCCTAGGCAAACAAATGTATTGTAGGATAACCAATCTTTCTTTTAACGCCATACTCCGAGGCATACCCAAATACCCTGGCTGTAAACTATCTTTACAACAGGACAAATATGTCTGATACAAATTCATCAAAAATTGCCTGGACTTACTCAGAACATCCATCAATTATTTGGGCACTAGTTATTCGCTACCTAACCCTATATCCAATCCTTAATCCATTCCTTTCCGAATACACCAGCATACAATCCAGTAAAGGTTTAGTTTTACTTTACTTTACGGCCTATCAACAGTCAGGGTCACTTTCGGACGTTTCGGAGAGGAGAAGGAAAGCCGGAGATCCTGGCAACTGCCCTGCGTAGACATCGAACCTGCGACTCAGAGGTGGAGGGCTAGTGATAAAAACAGCCAGAGGCCTTACACACTCGACCACCGCGACCTGGAGAGCAACAGCTACTCGAATACAGAGGGGATTTTCAGTTTTTGTTTATATCTCTCCTGTTTCACATCCGATAACACGTTGTTTCTTCCATGCAATAAACTGTGCAATTTTCCAAAAATAAAAATAAATCAAAAATATCTTCCCAATTTTACAGAAAACACTACCGTGTTTCCTAAATTTATTATCCAGGCAGAGGCTGCTGAAAAATTCAGACAGAAAAGATATCGGGATTCCCTTAAGCTGTGATAGGCATCTTTCCGTACGCAATTACTCATATCACCATGATGCTGCACCGATATTTAACCCTACCCGAATACCCATAGCTGTGCTGACATTCATAACTTCCTGAATATCCATAGTAACACCAGATATCTATCCGCATTCAAATGTCCCTAACTAAACAGACAGATATCATTACCCGAATGTATACCCATCAATAACTGAATACCCATAGCTACATGGACATTCATTCCGACCGGCATACACCCCTAGTTACAAGGAACCCATCCCTACCCGAATACCCATAGCTACATGGACATTCATCCCGGCCTGAATATACCCCTAGTTACAAGGAATCTATCCCTACCCGAATACCCATAGCTACATGGACATTCATCCCGACCGGCATATACCCCTAGTTACAAGGACACCCTTCCCTACCCGAATACCCATAGCTACATGGACAGTCATCCCGACCTGAATATACCCCTAGTTACAAGGAACCCATCCCTACCCGAATACCGATAGTTACTGGAACTTCACGGCTTTTTATCGCAACCATTTGTCTCTATGGTAGGAATTTCTTACCAATGCTAGGGAAAAAATCTGAGCCACAATGTATACCAAATAGATGTATATACATGCGTACCTGTAGTTTTTGTTACACGTGCGCGGTTCAGTGAGACCATGACCGCGCGCGCTCGAGACAACACATTGACAACAGCTGTTAATCTTTTGATGGTTCTGAATAAAGTAAAGGATTTATTGAGCCGTGAAAATTGGATTTCTTTCTCAATGGCACCTGTTGTGACCTTAAACTAAATACAAACATATTTATTTGAATAAAAAAAGAACATTGCATTATGAAATCGAATAAATAAATAAAAGGTCAAAACTTACAAATCTTTTTCTTCCTCGGCGCTGGTCCATACCCGGTAATGAAATAACATCATCACTGTTACGTGTAGAAATAACTTTCTTTGTATAATCCAGATTTGCATCCTTGTGAGATGTTGAAACTTGGCCCAGACTTAGAAGTAGATGTTTCCCGTGGAAATCCACGGACACTTATCCCAAGAGAAATTCACAAGAAAGAAAGACAGAAAATGTCCAGCAATGGAATATCCCCCTCTGTCCGCACAATGGTACAAGTACCATTTCTACTCTGGGGAACACATGGCGAAATCCACACGTGCATCAAAGAGAGACAGATCAATTAGTTTGATTATGTATATATAACTATCTGTAATTAATACAGAAATTACCATCTATTTTAGAACACACGCGCACTTTACACATACAAATGCACACGCATATGTATTACATATTATGTGTAATGCATAAGATAAATAAATGATAAATAATTATATACAGCCGGTAGTCAAAAACTGTAATACGCCGATGTATTCCACACCGAATACATGTTGCGTGTCACGTGATTTTAAGACTGTACCGCAGTGAAGGAAGGCGAGCTGTAGCGCGCCGCTGTGTGGCTCTCTGGCTGCGAGTCTGTTCGTATAAAATGGATGGAATCCTACAGAAGCCGATATAAATCGTCTCGATCACTTTGTAGCTCTATTATTGCTTTTTGAACACTTCCTGTTGAACTGTAGCTAGGAATTCACCGGAATGACAGAGTGACAAAAAGTTGACGTATCCAACAGGTTCTGCAGAAAATTAACTATCAATACTTTTGTGTGCACAGACAATTAAAACAGTACACTATTTCTGGGTGTATCAGTACACCACGTGTAGTCTACGTGTGTTTACTTAAAACAATGCATATCGAAACATCAATATCTATCGTATAAAGACACTAACCAGATCCGTCTTTTGGGACTATTCGCGCCGTTATTGATATTTCAGTTCTAGCTGGTCGGCATCCGATACTGGAGTTTAGCGTAAAGTAACGCAGTGGGTATCGGAGTGTTAGGACGCCAAATCATAATGCGTGTTGGTTCTCATGAAGCCCGACCCTCGGGCTCCCTTCCTACAGTTTAGACCCCTATCTTTCAAGCGTCTCATACCTTGATAATATCTGGTTCTCATTAACTTTTAAAGCACATGTCCTTACCGAATGTGACAGAGTACAATAGACCCAACTTTTTGTTCGACGTTTTGTAATTTCACTTGATCATTTTCGTAAATTTTCTTTTTACTGTACTTATTTTCTTGTTTTAGAAAATCGGACGTTTATACTTAGGGAACATTGCAGTCTGTGGATACGGAATGCGGGTACACGACTGGGTACCTTCAGGGTACATATTAGGCACTTAGAGAGTAGAGGGCATGATGCATCAGCTAACTAGCCCATCATGTGATATTTTTTTCAAACACTAAAAAACAGTTCGTTGACGTCACTTCCTGTTCCCTTCTCTGTCCCTACAAGCGAACAGCTCATCACAGGTTTACCCCTCCCCCTTCCCCCGCCTCCCCTCCCACATTTCCTATAAGTAAATCCTTCCCTCCGCTCTATTTACAATACAAGGACGCAATACATTTGTTGTCAATGCGTCCACCAGCAATGTCTAGCGTGTATACATCCTGGTGTTTCTAATTATTTACGTACGGAGCTCTATTGGTGCCATACTAATATCTTTAATATGCAATACATTAATCCCGTATTATCGAATGATAGTACCTGATATTTGTGCTTTTTAATCTTATAGTAACCCTAACTCGATAAACCGTACACTTTAACCGCGACTTTAATTTATCTGGCATAAGAACTCTTCAAACGCTTGTGACGTCAGCTAGAAAATTCATTATTGGTACTGATTGGTGCCGCCTTAATATAATGCCGTGACGCATAATGATATATAACTCAATGTTACGTAGATGTCAGCTATAAAAAATGTTTGTACAAGTAACACAAACTCAGGCAAGTATAAGATACGGTGTAATCAATATTTAGAATATAGAGATTGAGCTTCATCTTTATTGCGTTTAAGGTGACGTGAACGCAATGGAACATCTGTATATTATTGGTAGCGTGTTAACGACGTTATTAGCATTGTAATGAAAACAAAGTTAGCTCTTACATAATGTTTACTTAATGCGTTATTTCGATAACTTTAAACAATTCAAAAATGATGACAAAAACATGGTACATGTGTACTGAAAAATCAGGCCAGTTTATAACAAACAATGTCTTCAACAATAGCCTATTTATTGTTTATGTGAATATAGAACACAGATCCAACATACCCTATGATAACCACAATAAATACACGTCTAGTTCAACGTGACCGCAATTTTGGTTTGTGAATGGTAGAAAGTTCAAGCACAGTGGAAGGTGTTTCCAGGGGCAGCTGATATTGATGTCACACAATCTAAGATCTCATGACGTGCCAAGGACCCGAAAAACAACAGGTAGCATATGACATCTCATTTGTTCATCTTCACCGAAGGACGATATCATACAACGTAATTGTCTTGATATCCCTCTAATCTGAAGCGTTCCGTCTGATCTAATAGAACAGAGAATACGTCTGACCCTGACAAGACGTACAGCACGGTAACGTTGGTGTTGGACAGGGCGGATAGCAATACGCCGTGGACGACAGCAGGTTCGATCCGTTCTAAGAATGGGGCGGTATTTCGTGTCTCCAGACTACGGGAAAAGTCGAATTTAATTGTGTTTGGCATTCCAATGTACATCAAAGCGTTCGAGATTGTTTCCGCTCATTTGTTGTAAGGTTTGAAAGTCTGGACAATTCAACGCCCTCGTGGATCAGCGATGTCGTGGTTTCAGAAAACATATGTGCTAACTTCTTTTTATAGTTCTCAATAAACAGTTCCACACCTAAATACTACATGTATCTTTTTCTAATGGTGTGACCTGCTAAAGTACTCCCTTCCTCGATACTCCAGGGGTTAAGGTCACTTTCGTCCTGTGCACCCCTGGAACATGTCATGGCATAATTGAAGGCACAATCGAAATAATTTGATTGGTTCCAGTAGAAAAAACTGTTAATCACAAGGCCGATACGCTCTTTTTAAGATACCAAATGAGCGACACCCAATTCAAAACCATTACTCTATGCGACCTTGAGATTCGTTTGATGTTCATCAAAGGATCAAACTAGTCTCTTCGTCTTGTCCACAAGATTTCGCACATGGAATCTTCAATTTTGCCATCACATGTCCGGGGTAGCAGAGACCGATCGTGATCGGAACCCCTAAAGCACCGAGGGAGAAGTACTTAATTGTCGAAATTTTGCCCTTGAACAGAAATCGCGGGACTCGTACCTCGGCCAATGAAAAGCCAGGCGATATCTTGTTGACCTTGGTGTTCTTTTAAGTGATCATTCGTATTAATCTTACGATATTCCATCCGGGGACTTTTATGGCTTCCTTGTGTGAATCTCGGTAAACGAGAATGATATTATGCATTGTTTTGACATCTACATGTCTTTCTCACGCGCCGTTCATGCCTTAGTGGTATTCTACAGATGCTGTGACACTTCAATCAGTTGTTTTAAAAAATATGCACTTCCGAAATGTTTTAAAAAGTATTCACTTCTAAGATGTTATAAGAATCATTTAGTCTTACAATATTCTATGAATCATGTATTTCTCAGACCACAAGGACATAACTGACTTCATTTTGAAGCGATATCTATCACACACTTCGTTTAATTTACCGAAACCAAATACTCGAAAACAGCGACACTCCATCAATTACTATCAGCTTCTCCAAGATCAAAATCATCCAGACGTTTGCCTGTATCCACAGTTGAGAAGTGAATGATATTCACCACCAAATTAGTGACGTATAATAGATTATGGAGGTTATACAGAAAAATATCATGTAGGTAATACGTTCATAATGAATTATACGGTCCTGCTTTCTTGCTGTCAGTTTCGTCCTAACCATCTCCAGCCTACGTCAATTCGTGACAATGCATTTAGGTCTGATAAGGATGGACATACTGATCTTATATTGCTTTCTGACGATACTAAGCTAAGCCTGTCAAGGGCTATATCAACATTTACAAGTCCGTCCAGATTTATGCCTAAAATGTTATATTTCAAGCTCCGAAGCGGTTTGCCCACATAAACGATCAGGACACTGTTGTGAACTGGAAAGATTGGTAACTCGTGCAGGATTGTACGGAATTTTACAGCACCCCACTAAAAACACCTCAAACTAACTCATCTCGCGTTTACTTGTAAGGGATTAATAAAGAATTGAATATTGATGAAATCGACTTGTTGGGTGTTCCTATTCAATGAGGAAACGTCTACAACGGAACAGAACCTGGCGAGTGTCGTCGATAAAGCAGAAGACGCTTGCCCTTCTGGAACACATCACCTTATTCTTCTGACACTTTTTAAATCACCCGAGAAGAAATCTGTTTTGTCTGTCGTCTTGAGTCGTCCGAGATGGTCAGTGCTTTACCAAATTGTATGTTCTATGACGCCAAGCAATCGTATTTTCCATGATGATAGGGTAAACTTTGCTGAATTCCATGTGGAAAACTGATATTGTTCCGGCATAATGGTGATGAAATTTTATTGAAAATATAAATTCAAACTTTATAAGAATGATTATTCTAGGATGATTCTTTTATGTTATTTTACATTTACATTACATGTAAAATTTACTTCGGGACATTCTTACATGTAATTACACGATGGACATCAAAAACGATAGCTTCATAAAATTAACATTGTAGGTGATCGTTAAAGCCCTAAAGCTTCTTGTTCTTGTCTGTGTAATTACTTCTTTTTTTTTGGGGGGGTGGGGGGGGAGAGAGAGAGAGAGGTTGTTCTTTGTCTCTGTTTACTTGAATTATCAATGAGATAATTACAATATCAAAGTCAACTTTCTCTCCCTTTTTCGTTTATTCAAAAACATGAACGAGACATTGGTTATACCGAACTCGATATCCTCAGCCATGGTGTCACGCCTCCAGACACAACACTATAACTACAGAAAAATTGTATTCATGTTAAGTAGACACCAACATTTGATCCAATCGGGTATATAAAATTAGTTTGAATCGATCCTTCCATCTAGTCGGCGTGTTATTGTATATACCGCTCGTTGTCCCATCAAACAATGTTCCAATCCCGGCGAATTTGATTCCCAAATTCTAAATGAAATACAAATCAATGGAAATGAGTCACCGTTGGTTCTGCAAGAAACCATGTCTTGTTGGTGAGGTGATTGGAGTGCAAAACTGAAAACTGGATAACACACAAGAAATTCTAAATTTATCCAAAAACGTACTCCTGCTGCAGTTGTGATTAACTATATAGACATATATCAACAATCCTGTTGGCCAATGTTTACTGACGGACCTGAGTATCAAAAGTTACCTCCCTTGGTCCTTCATAACCTATTTCCGGAGTTGATTTTTTTTTCTCACAACCTTTCACATCTATGGTTATTTCCGCTATCTGGAAATTAAAAGTCGTGTAAACACTTTTGCAATAAAGTCTGAAAACAAGACTCTGTTTCAAGCAAATAAGTAAAAGAAAATACACGAGCAAAACTTATTGATACACGCACCCCGCATATACATGTACAGGAATAACATTTTTCCCATTTACTAAAACACCGGCAAAGTCTCGAAGACTAACGCATTTCACATATCTTCAGTTTACTTTATTTTTTGACATGCTATAAATATCATTGTGTCTTTAAAAAGGGACATATTAAAATACTGTAGGAA